AGAAGTAGGTGGAACTATAATCCTTCCTTTATAAAGGAAAGGGAAAATCTGCTGTTTAATTTTATATCTAAACTTTGTTCAGACAACCTGTATATCAATGCCAAAATAAATAAAAAACAAAAAATGCCTGGAAGACAGATAGTCTATACCCAGCGTGGAGAGATTATTACCTCTGATCAGAGAGTTCCCTGTTTTGTCATCTAGCGTTTTGCAGTATATGGGATTTATGACACACATCAATTCTGCTGAATGCCTGTAAATGATCTCAAGAGTCTCATTGTGCTTTACATAATTCCAGCATTGCCTGTTGGTGCTTATGAAATTTCCACTTGGTAAAGTCTCCAATATCAGTGAAAGATGCTCTAAAGTCTTTCTAAACAAAAGGGAAACAAAAAATGTTCTGACAATGCTGGATTATTACTATTACCTTGATTTGAAGATCAGCCTGTAACAGCAGTTTTCTAAGCACTTGAGGGTTTGTTCCCTGAAAGAATACTTTCATAGCTATTGAGTGTTACTGGGCATTTTACAGCATTCAGATCCAATGAGTAGGGCTAATGTGATCTGTGGTCAGCACATTACATTCTGGAGTGTACTAGAGTAATATAGGAACTATGTGTGTGTGGTGTGTGGAATCTTTTCAATGGAAATGCTACTATATTGGACCAATATGCATGCATCTTCATTGACATTGAGTACTAGTACAATATAGAGGGCCCTTATAACTCCATCTGTCAGAAAGTGGTGTCTGGTGTCTTTGTTGTTAATATACATCTATACATTTATGATCACATTAACTGAAATGCAATCAAGAATTAACAGTAGTACGGATACATACTGTAGTATGCGATTACACTGTTAAGATGTACAGTTTTACCAATATGAATAGCACAAATAGTTTTTCGTTGACTGTCAATGTAAAGATGGAAGTATGTACAGTAAATGTCTGCAAGACTTCTCCGTTGGTAACCAGACACGACAGCCATGGGGTTAGTCATGATGTCAGAAGCACAAGTTATATTCCTATTTATAAAGTTCAAACGGCTGCACTGCTGCAATCATTTAAACAAAAAGTGAATGCCACAACATTGTGCAAGTAAGTCATCCTGAATTATACCATTGAAAAAAATATTCTTGTAATCAAAACAACTCAGTGGGATCCAGATTTTGCACCCTTTTTGGATAGTTGGATAATTTAAAAAAGAATTATAATGTAAAATACCTTTTTGGCATTAAACCTTCTTGACTACTGTCTTCGTAGACCTTGTGAACTGTATTCAGTAGTGCAGGGGCTGGTTTGCTTTTTCGTACTCCTCTTTGTGAGGCTCACCCCTCACTCTTTCAATCTCATTCTTGTTCAGAGTAACTGTATTAACACTTTAATGGGGAAGATGTGCAGAATATACCATTGCTTTTTTCCTGGTGCAATATGATCAGATTCACAACAGCTAAATTTTGTTTTGCAATTAAACTCTATGACACATGACACTAGGTATGGCACATGTCACTACATACAGTTTATTATGTGCTTGTTTGTGCTTGCAGGGAACTATGCAAATGAACTTGAAAGGAACACAGTTACTTCAGTGCTGGAAGTTAAAAACAAAAAAACACAACCTTTCTGGGGCAAGCCACCCAGCCGTGGTGTGGAAGCCCATACTGTCTGTTCTTTCATGAAATGGCTGAATGACGTCCTCAAATCAGTTCACCGCCCTTCACAAAATGAGCCAGATGAGCCAAATAACCTTCTTACAGGGTTGTGCTAATTTTAAGTAAATTAACCACTTTGATGGGAGGTTCCTTTTGTGTCTTTTTTGTTGAATGGGAAATGCATTTGGGAGTAATGCATTTGGGTTAAATCCACTAACTTCCCTTTATTGGTTTTTCTTCACAGTTCAGAACATGGACACAACCCTTCTCTGCAAATAGCAGGGAAGCCTCAATGGCACTCACCACGCCTACCAGGAAGCCCCAAGCTGCAAGTCTGACTTTCTTTACAAACGGTATTAAACACTTGAGCATACAAATGCAGAACAAACCTCAGGCTTCAGACAGCTGCCTTGACAAAAGTAAATATCAAGTCCTTGTGGTGAACTGTATTTACAAAATCATTTGTTTCTTTATATTGCAAAGGGTTAGCATGCAAACAACTGTCTCCTTCTTTGGCAGGCTTCTGACAACTGTATGACATGCTCTTCGCATATCCTCCAATGAGAGGCCAGGCTTGTGTAGTGCTGGAAACAGGATGAAGGACTTGCTTTCTTTCACAGACGCGATCATCTGTTTCACAGGCTGTTTCAATTCCGACGCAGATATTTATGTTTAAACCTTGGCTGAAACTTCCAGGGCTCGAAATCCCATGACCAATTGTTTTTACAATACTGAAAACCTTTTCTAAAGGAAACAAACTGCGTGGTGTTTCCGAAGGAAGCTGGGCGCTTGGGCAAGGAGGACGAGATGACAGCAAATAAATATTCAGACTTCCCCTATATCTAGTGCTGGGAAGAAGTGTGGAGTTTTGGGTGTATCGTGCCTTGCGCCCATTGCTTGCCTGGACAGATTCCGGCTGCCCCACAACCCTGGATTGGATAAAACATTTGGAAAATGGATGGATGTTTGTAATTTATTTTGCAATAACATCGAACTTTGATTAGAAATGGATTTAGGATGTGTATCCCTTCCAACTTTTATACTCTAAAGATATAAAGATATACTCTAAAGATATTGTGTATATTGATCATCTGAAGATTAAAGGTGAATTTCTCCTCTGTGAGTGACAATCCGCAAACGCCCCTGTAGATTATCATTGGCTCTTCAAAAACGCTTATGCTCTTGCAAGAAAGCAGAAAGAAACTCCTTTCCTATTAATTTCTGTCATTGCACATACTTCTACCTTAAGCTTCTGTTTTCTTTCATTTGCTTTTCTCTTATGTGTTGCATGAATTCAGATGCATTTTCACTTCTTCCTTAGCATCTTTCATGTTTCTGGTTAACCTAACTAAATGAGCCCTAAAGGAACACTGGCCATTTACCCACTTCCTACAAAACTAGCCCATATCTCCTTTTCAGTTACTTTCACTAAATACTGTAATTTACAGGACCAGGAAGTCTTGGAATGAATGTTCCATTCCAGAACATACAATAATCTGTGAACACGGCAGCTTGTGGTACTTTGAAGTTACCAGCATCTCAAACCAACAGAAGTTAAAATGAATTCTGCAGGAAGCACCAGCAGTGACCCTGACAAAACTTCTACACTTTTCAGGACTGCTACAAGACAAGACCAAAAAAAAAAGAAACAAATCAGAATTCTATTAAAATAAAGCAAGATAAACTCAATTGTAATAACTTATTTTTATTGCTTGTGTACCAAGATCACTCAAACAGATTTCATCGATGTCTCATTTAAACAGCTGTTGTTGTTAGTGACAGGTATTCTCTAAACAAAGCAGACATGCCAGAGAAGCTCGTTATGTCCCAAAGGTGATGGTATTTGATTGTTTTCTATTAAAATAAGTACCCACTTTTCAACTTATTTGTCGAAAGGTAGATTTCTGCTGCTGAGAAAAGCCCATTACAGCATCGTGTACTGCAGTCGCATGGAGAACACTGGAATTTCTTGCATGAAAAGAAATATGCACTTGAATTCTGAATTTCAGGAAGGGGGGGATTTGAAAGCCCGTTTTTACAGTGTCCAATTTAAAGATCATTTGTCTTATTCCCCACATCTAAGGTAAAGCTTTGAGAATGAGCAGGGCGAGGCCTCCTGGGGACCACTTTGAGAGGTTATGGGTTTGAAGTCTGGCTTGAGCCTGTTCTTGCCAGCATTGAACCTTCATTCCAACCCTGAATAAAGAAGGCCATTACTTCACGAGGACAAGAAAAGAAACCAATGGATTTTTATGATGATTTGGAGCTACTGAAAAGAGGCACTCCAACAATTAATACTTCCAAATAGAAATGAAAACAACACTGGTGTTCCCAATCTATGAAAGGAGAAGAATCCTACAGTATATCTGTACGATTCTGAGGTTCTTTTCTCATATAATTTAGTCCTACTCTACATAAAAAGAGCTACTACCAAGATCTACAGTAAATTCTTTGCAGACTTTAAACATGGGAACAGAAAATGCTCTTTGTATAAAATAGGACAATGGATATTAAGGCGAGGCTTTGTGAGAACTGAATAAGTGGACATACAGTAGTAGCTTCAATCATATCTGTCACAGCTACAGGCAGCAGTCGAAGCTGTTGCTGTGAAGGTATAATCGAAAATGCAGTACAGTTTATGTACCGTATGTTCAGAGATGTTTTTCTCTGGGAAATGTTTTAATCTCATTTGAACGAAGCATCATTTGAAGGCTGAGTATATGATATTTACATGATATTAGTAATATGATTATTTATATAATTACTAAATAATTATGAAGTAGCGGGTTATCATTGTGCACACATACTGTAGAACCCATTTTATTGTTGTCTGTATTGATCATCTGAAGATTAAAGGTTCAGAAAACAGGAAGCATCTAAGATTGAAAATACATTGTCTGTAAATGAAATAGGCAATCGGTAATTCTGGGCTTATATCCCACGTGGAAAGATTGTGCTTGACTCTGCACCTCAAAATTAGGCCTTGATATCTTCTTAATAAGTGTTCCAAACATTCTTGAATTGCTTTATTGATGAGAGCCCCCAAAAGACAATCTGTATGTACGATTCATTGTAAATGCACTATAGCTAATGTTATAAAGTTTTCGATAGTCCATAAAAGGTGTGAAAAGACAAACCCATCTGTATTTCCTGTTCACAAATCTGCCCTCTAAGATCTGAAACTAAACATGACGAGGTGACAGAAATATACCCAAAAGTTCATCTTGCGCGCAGTAGCGTACAGGATGATGTGTCGCTAATTGTGTGTACGTCGGTAATTACGTGCTCAGAAGAACACCACCTAGATTTAAAGAAGAATGATAATGTTGAGATCTTTGTCGAGGGCTGGTGATAGTGCAAGAGCAATAAGAAATGCACCAAAATTAAGTGCAAGAACAGTAATAGATGAGGATAAAATTTCCCTCATTGTAATTAAGACTTAGCTGCTGTTGGTCATAAGTTGCTGGACAATCCTCCTACAAGTGCTATAGAACTTCGCCTTATAAGGACGGATGTCGCATTCGTTTAATTTTGTAGCGCTTTTTCGTTTCCTTGAAGTACTGCAGCTTTCTGCTTGCGGCATCTGATAAACTTCCTCTGGAGTTTTTCGTGTGTAGAATCTGTTGCTATCCCGTGCCCGTTTAGAAACGATAAAAGAAACGGTAAAAGACGATATTGTAAAGATCAGCAGTATGCAACTCCCCTGCTCGGAAGATTCTCTTCCATCTAAGAAACAGCTGTCTGCTTGCACTGGGACTTTACCGGAAACCAAACTTTTTTTCTGAACTTGTTTCGTAGCAGCGAGTCAAAAGAGGAAAAAGAAAAGAAGAAAAGCTTCGGCGCTGAAACTTTTACAGTTCCCTGTTATTTGTTTCTTTCCCTGCGTCATGGTGGATATGAAAAGGTGGACGTTTAAACGAAGAGAAATATTTTGTATTTTCTGAGAGAGAAAATCGTCTTCGAGTGCTTTTCCTCCAGACATAGCGGATCTTGGTCTCCTTCTTATCATGGAAGATGTGAGTATATGCTGCCCGCATTGGGCTCAGTTAGTTCGTGGTACCGGGCTACGTGATGTTTGGTCGTGTACTTTTTGCATGTCGGATTTTCTTCGGGAAACTAATATCGTAGTTAAACCTTTTCCCCCCGTGTTAACTACCCGAAAACTCTCTGTGGGCTGTACACCGGACTGCAAAAGTCATTTTTGAGCTTGCCTTGCCATTTTTAATAAATCGCTGTAAGAAACTGTCCCTGTGCTGCGCAGGTCTTGCATCCCCAGACACTGATACTCAAGAACGTGGCTAATGAACAAATAATGAATAGTTATTTCATAAAAATGTTTGACAGTAGTGGACAATAGAAAATGGTTTGTGGAGCGACAGTTAAATGTGCAACAGCTCATTTTTTTATTTAAGGTTTAATATTATGTAGCAATTTTGATAAACAGATGAACACGTCCAGCTATATGTATATGATTTTATGACCAAATGAAAGATGGTTTTCCGTTGTTTTGTATATAAATTAATAGGAAATGAATCTGATGCAGCTCGGCTGTTTAAATATAAAACCATCATTAGTAACAGTAACTTTTCTGATTTGTATTTTGTTGTTGCTGTTTTTTTATACATTATCGTTGAACAAAGTCAGACAGCAATGTCAGGTGACAAAAAAACGTATCGGCACAAATTTCATATTTTACTGCTGGCCAACCCTGCTGGTGTTTAGCACTGTCAGAACCAGCTGTCACCCTGTCAGTCTGTCTGCAGCATTCCCGCCGCCTCCGGCCCGGAGATCAGCAAGCCCCACAGTACCCCGATACTTTGTAATGCTTGCTTGCAGCTAATCCATCAGTATGGCCATAGAGATACAGACAGGAAACAGGGGAGGCGCGGCACATACTGTATACTGTTCGAAAATAAGCAATATAAATGAAGTTGCCTGTGAGTGCATGAGATAACAACTCAGCTTGAAGTCCCCATCTTTGTTCGCCCCTTAAAAGAGTGAGTTTAAAGCCGCCCTTAATTCTCTGATTAGCCATTAATCAGGTCCTTATTAACATACGATCGAGTTGTAACATTTATTGTGACATTGCAGTATACTGAAACGCGTTATAAAAACGCATCAAACGCATGGTACAGTAGTGAATGTATTTTTTAGAAGTGAAAAGGTCAGCCCACTCAGGTACAAATGAAGGTGCGGCTGTTTATGGGTCTCATCACTGATCCAGACTTGGCTCTTAAATTAAACATGATATCCAGTCTCCTCACATAAAACCTTTTCGTTTTTGTTAAGGTTTCATGACAAGCAGAGAGAGCTTTTTTGAGGGAGATGGATGAGCGTGTCTGACTATGGAGCAGATTTAAGAATGGCTTTTGTCTTGCCTTGGGCTGTGTTTGTTGAAGCACAGCGTATTGTGGAAGTTTGCATCCAGTGCAAGGGAACTCATTTAAAAGTAAAACAGGAACTATCATATTTTGGCATGGTAGATTCGAATACTGTAAATGATATCCTGAGAGACTGTCTTACAGTTCAAATGAGATCCCTTCACCTACCTGGGGGAATAGATGAACAGTCAAACATTTTAAAGCTTGGTGACTTAATGAAGTAAATCCTTTCTTCAATGACTGTAATGTTAATTTTGCCTTATTTTTGTATATCATCATCAATTTTACAAACTCAAGTTAGGCAATCAGTTTTGAGGCCTAATTATCGGATCTTTATAAATGCTGATTTTTTACACTGCATTATTTTAGTTTGTAAAATAAATCTTTGTTTCTTGAGTTTTCGACTTTCCGGGTAATTTTATACACTTAAGCTTTAGTTCCAGAAAATACAGATTGTACGTTTTACACAGACATCAAGCACTGATTGTTCCTGGGCTACAAAGAATTACTGTGTATATCTGACCACTTTATGAATGGACTTTTCTTCAGCATTTTTACATTACATTAAACTTCTCTTTGCCAGTATGTGAATCTCCAAATTTATACTGAAATTAATGTCATATTTTAAATATAACTGACTTCTAACCTTTCATTGCTGTGCATTTAAACAACAAAGTGCTTATTTTTACAGTCCTAACAACTTCACACCAAATCATTACCAAATTTCACATCATTTGGTAAAGTATAACATTTTCTAAACAATTTGAACCCAGCCTGCTTTCCATGTTAATTTTTTTAAGGGTGGTGTTTAGTTATGAGCAATAACTTGATGGAATCGGTTTTGCAGAGCATTCTGAGACACAGACCAGCTGCCTGCCATCACAGCGCATTTCAGATGTGGGCCTTATGGTGTGGGTGGGGTTTCTTTACTGCGAGGGCTTTGCTAAATGAAGACACACACATTTTGGCTGGCCTCCCATCTTCCTCGGTCAGCTGGTGTGTGTGGACCACAAATTCCGCCATGATTTTCTCCCTCTGTCTCAGACTCGCGTCTGGGGACTCGGTCACTCGTGGAGCTGCTTTAAGAAACTGCCCCGGTACTCTTGATAACTAATGGATTATTCATCTTTAAACATAAAAGAGGAAGGAAACTTCTAAGGAAAGAAAGCATATGGATTAAAAATGTTGGCCTCACTTTGCCCGTTTTTCCAAAACGAAGGCATGTGCTTACGTGAAAGATAGTTTTATTGCATATTTATGGCCAGTCTGAATTATTACCATTTATTTTAGGCTCTTATACCCTAGAAGTGAAATACACCATTTTAGATAAAGGTTGGCAACACACTGTATATTGCAGTATATGGAAAAAACAGTCCAGTTTTAACCCCTGTGACACTGGTACAGCCAATGGAGTACAGTACGTGTTAATATTAAAACAGAGACTAAAGTTGTATAACTTTTTCCACTGTACTGCATTTCTGGTTGGACTTTTGGCTGCTCTGAAACTTCCTTGTATTGAGAGATATTTTGAAGCCTCAGAATGTCTCTTATTTAGCTACAGTCGGAGTGACAGGGTACTTGACTGCTGTTTCCTCCTCCCTGATTAGTAGCCCTGTGAAAACAGGATCACATGGACTTTGAGGCACACAGCAGGCTGGTCAAGGCAGCAAAGGGTCAGTGCTCAGAAGGTTTTAAATGTATCACAGATGCAACTTGTTTTTTCTGCAGCTGATTTTATATGGAACACGTGTGAGCTGAGGAATATCTGTGCTTTTGCCCAAAACCTCGCTTTTGTTTTTTATTTCAAAATGCGTATTTGTGACAGGAATTCCACTGTATATCACAGAAATGAAAACTCTGTGATTCTAATGAATGAAAAATATTGCACATGGTTCAGATGAGTCCAGACTAAACCTATTCATTTATTTATTTATTAGAGAAAGGTTTAGGATCACAGAAAGCAAATTCTTATTTTGCCGATAATAATCATTTAAGCACTTCTAGAAGAAGCACTTCCTTAAACAGCAAAACATGGTTTAGATGTATTCCAAACTGCCAATTAATTTAGCAACACTCCTTTTCAGTCTGAACTCGGCTTTGGGGTAAAGCCTATATTGGGCAATACATCATAGCGTTTGCTTTTATATGACCAATAAAAAATGTTTTCTTAACGCTAAGGGCTATGCATTTTTTGAAAGGTTTTGTTTTTTTGTGTGTAAACCTTTATTAATTCCATCATGCCTAATGTGGGGGCAGCAGTGTTCCTGCTATAAAAAGCTGTGCTCAGCTGGTTGAGAATCTGATTTTCTGCACCACGCCCAGACAATGCCTGGATTAATATTTTAACCATGTATTTTTCTTCCCGTGGGTGGCGAGAAATGTTCAATTTCCCTGCACTGACATGGGAAAAACTAAGCTCAGTCACACTCTACCCCTCTTCATTAGTGATCCCCTCACAGGGTGCTGGCTGCTGACTTGTATCCAGACTGCTCTGAGTTTCTTTTTAGAACAAGAATGCATGATCTTTGCAGCATTAGAAGTCTACTTTTTTTTTATTCCAAGCACTCCCCTCCTGAATGTCTGCAGCGTTACAGCAGCACAGAAGCCTCCCAATGGCTAGCAAGCCCAGTGAAAGTGGAAAAACAGCTAACTTGACCCTTAATAAGATATCCTGTGGAATTTCCTTGTATAGTTAGGAAAGACTGGGATTTCAGCCAAGTATCTAAAGGTACTTGTGATTTTCTTTTGGAACTAAAGAGAACTACACAATGGACCATTAATGAATCTATATTCCCATCTGCTGTTGATAGCTGTTTCATACTTCTGCCTTTTTCCGTGCGTTGTGATGTGAAAATTGGGGAACTTACAGGAGCATTTGTTTCCTGTCTAATTTTTTCAAGTTTGCTTGGTGTAGGATACGCCCAGAAGAATCTGCAGGTTTTGCTAATATGTTCTCAAAAGTCCTCTTGGTATGTAAGGGATGACCGCTGTTTAGAAGACTAAACAGCATGACAATTTCTCCAGAAATTTGTCTTTGTGTACTTTGGGATTTCCTGAATAATATTGACTGTGTACCAGATACTATCCCAAGGTTATGAAACACTTCTGAATGGCATAAGGTCTCATAGAGCAACTGTCGTAATACCGTAGGGGGTTAAAGCTGAATATGAAATAAATGTCTGGGGGAAGAAAAGGTTTTAACAATCTAAATCTAGCAGCCTTGCACTGATGCTTCATTTTCACAGTATCAGGCAAAGGAAATATCAGAGCTGACAACCCACTTAGTTTCACTTAACTCTCCTGCCTGTTGCAAAGCAGAAACATCTTGTCAGGGTATTGGGTTTTTGCTGAGGTTTGTTGTGGTGCTCTTCATTTGCCAGATTTCAGTTATGCATGCTTTTTTGAGCACACTAATTGATTATTGTCCTCTGCTGTATTCATCCGTCTGGTACAGGATGGGAATGAGCAGAAGGAACAGCCTAAAGCTGCGAAGGTTCCAGAGAAAGCTGGCTGGATCAAGAAGTCCTCTGGGAAGATTTTGGGGACATACAAGGATCGCTACATTCAGTTGGAGAGGACAGAGATACTGGTCTATGACAACGAGGTACATCAGACATTAAATAATTTGTTGCGTGTCATGCTTGAAAGAAAAATCTGTTGCTATGACAGTCATGTGTTGATAGTTTTATATTAAAAATGAACAAACTGGTTACTCTTTTTAGATAATAAACCAGGAAAGCTGACATCCTTGATAAATTGCTCCATGTCTAGAACCAGCTGCAAGTAATGAGGAAATTAAGTCATTTTATCATAAAAAGTCTGAATATTTCAAAGTCGTAGCGCTTGCCATTTTCATTGCATTGGGTGCTTTTTCTTTGTGAGATTAATTGTCCCGCTGCCTGCACATTGTACATTGTCACAGTTGTTTGTCCAAATGAGATGTTCAAGGACATTGTGTGTTACTGAGCCACAGCTTGACAGTGTGCAGTACAGGTCTTCGTTCTACACCTCGGCATCTTAAATGCATGATTGTGGAAGGCTCATTTGCTCTTTTGAAGTTATTTCTTAAACCTTTAATTTGTGGTAAAATCTATACTGAGACTCTGATCTTTGTGGGCTGACAGTCATTATTACTCTATATATAATCTTTTAAAACAGGATAGTTACAAAGTCAAGAGAGCGGTATAAAACCAACTGTTCTTTTCTACAGACATGCAGAGTTCAGTAATGTCTAGTTAGTTTGATATATAGCTCTCCCAGTCACTTCCAAAGGTTATAACAATAGTGCAAGGTTTGTTTACGTTAAATAACAATGTTATCAGCCATTTGGCTCATTTCAGAGGCATCATTTTGGACAGAATCTAATCAAGATGCATCCTCTTTTGTGCAGGACTTGAAGAACTGCATGGAAAAAGTTGACCTGGAGAACTATGATAAATGTCATGAGCTACGGAGTGCTTTTAAAAAGAGAAACAGGTTGATTTTAATTCGAGCCCCCAAATCTGGGAGTAAGGTAAGTGTCAGCTCTCTGCTTTAGCTTGGCTGTCTGTCCTCGGGATTGGCAGTCTATGGTGTTTGCTTGTGTGTTTAGGTCTTTTGAAGATATACCCATAAACACTCCTAGATGAAACACTTGGATTAAAACAATAAAAAAGCCTGGTGTTCCATTGGCATTGGTTTAAATGCAGAGAAATTCTACTCAGGTGAAGCCCCCAACGTCCTGTGCCATCAAACCTTCTCTGCCAGGCAGGTGTCCTTAATACAGTGTAAAGTGAACGAAGAAAAAACAGGCAGTAAAATAGACAATACTCACTGTTTTTCCAGTGGTACAGATTAAAGGTTTTGCAAAAAAATAAAATTACATTTTAAATAGCTGAGCTAGAGGGGAGCGCAACAATGAAGAGAACTTGCTAAAGGCTACAGAGAGGAAACAGAAGTGCTGCACAAGATGCCCCTGCTCATTGTACTTTAAAGCCTAGAAAAGACCAGTCACCCTTTATAGGAAGGGTAAGGCTTGACACTTCTACAGTGCAAAAGCCAATATACGGATTCTTTCACCTAACCCACACATTGCTTTTAACAGACTGTGTTTTCTAGCAGCTCTTGTTTAGAAAAAAGTATTTCTGCTCAGTTTATAATTACATTCTGACATTTTGGGAGTGCTTCCCCTTTTCAAAGATTCACGTGAAGGGACTGAGACCCATGACAGCAGCTCACCTCTTTCTTGTAGCGGCCATTTCTCATCGTTGCGGTCACGCGCCTGGATCAGTTTCTACCTGAAGTTCTTGTTTTGGTCCTACGGCCTTCTTGGGCTCAGGCTGGAATGCTTGGTGGCAGAGCCCAGTATGCAAATACTTGTGGTCTTATCAAAACAGCCACAAACCAGCATTCGTGTTCTCAGTCCTGTGTGCTGAACTGAGGTGGAGGCAGCAAAACCATTAGGTAGAGAATATCAAAGCTGCCATTCAGTGCTGTTTCCACTGGTGGGGAGAGAAACTATAGAGCAGCCTTTAACCTTAATAACATGCTCTGCTATCTGTTGGTAAGAGGTTGTTTTTAACGAGAAAAATGCAGACACCATTTCATGGTATTTTTGTGAAGATATGAATAGCTCTATATGTCTTTGTGGATCGGTCCAGTGACTGCCTAGAACCTCCTTCAGCCACATGGTCTTGTGGCGACAGTCCGCTGGCTGTCTAGTTCAGAAGGAGGTGAGGTATTATGTTCCACAAATAATCATGTTTTAGAAAACGTCAGCTCTATGCTTTAGGTTATGTTATTTAATACACGGTGTTAGAGCAAAAGGTGGTGCCCAGGTCTTGAAGTGTCAGCACATTTGTCCTGTAAAACAGAATAAAAGAGGACAAATGGAGCACAGACACGTATTAAACCAAAACAATTTTGAGACATTTTTCAAGTTTCACACACTCCAACAATTGAACTAACTCTATTCCCGTGTCAGGAGAGGTTTCTTAATTACCAGTGGCTTGGCCAGATGTTTTCGTATAGCGTGACCAAGTTCATTTGCTAATCAATTATTCAATTAAACCTGACTGCGCTGAACCCCACGAGTTCTCTTACACTCCTATCAAAAGATCTCCCGTCAGCCAAGGAAGTAAATCAAAGAAAACCAAAGGAGGGCGTTTTTTTTTTCATTCTGTCCTTCCCAAGTGTATGAATAAAAAATCTATAACAAATGTCAACTCTGAATTCAGCATGGCTGACAGTAGCTCCTGTGTTTTCCAAAAGCAGTATGGACATTAGAGAAGTGTTCACTGAAATAAGCTTTTTAATCTTAATCTTAATCTCAAAACAACCACAAACCAGCGTTCATGTTCTCAGTCCTGTGTGCTAAATATTGGAATAAAGAATATTGGTTTAGGTGTCCCTTGCCCTTGTGAGTTCTTTCCATCATTAGAAATGAAATGAAAATTAATTTCAAGCCAGCGCTTCCAAAACAGAGCCTGGCCTGAGCAGTGAAAGAGTGCCTGACACAAGACCGCAGGAACACAATAGCACACCTCTTAGTTTAGCTGGAAGACTAGGCACAGTGCCCTAGATCCAAACTATTGGTAACTCCCTCTGCTGGCATCAAAGAATAGTCTGTTCGTCCCTGCTTATTGGAGCTGCAAGCCTTTCTGAGCAGAAAGAACAGAGGGAGAGCTTGGGCAAGACTGTAATATCAGAAAAAAACAAAACAAAAGGTGAAATCATGCATCAGTTTAATTACCTTAATTACCCCACCACCAAGCTTCAGTATTTTCTCAGATAACTAAAATAACTTTTGAATAACAAGGTTAAGATTACAGAGGTCCTTGCAGTTTCTTAAGCATTCCTTGAAAAGATATAAATCAGTGTTGTTATTCATAGAACAAGAAGAGTGATCTAGTATTTGCATACACAAAATGTTATTTGTATGCAAAGCATTAATTATGTATCACCAGGAACTATGGAATAGTTCTTAGGAGTCTGGACTTGTAAGGAGTAGGTTCTGGGTTCAAATCCCTGGTGGGACTCTTTCTGAGCTGGATTCTTCACTCAAGCTGATAAAATGACCTGAGCTGATGAAATGGTAAAATGACTAGTTCTATAAACAGATGTACAAATGTGCTTTTTATTGGGTAAACATATCAGCCAAGTAAACTAACAACAGTAATTCTGTCTGCCTGTAGCTGTGTTGAGGGAAACAAAAAGCTATGTATTTATGATGGAGTTTTTGTTTTTAAAATCCTCTTTATGCGTAATAAAATGCCACTGATGTTTCTTTCTTAAATTAAACATGGGGAAAAACTGTAAAAAGTAAAAAAAACAACCTAACTGTTAAAAAAAATGCCCTATTACTAACAGATGATGAAACAGGGAATTTGGCAAGCATCCCTGACCCCAGTAGCAAACTGGCTTTTACATGCAGCTTCAAACAGCTGAAAACTATGGATCTTAGCATGTCAGCTTTTCTTTCCTCTGTGGCTCACAGACCAGACTAGGAAATTCTGAATTCAATGCAAGAGAGCAACAGTAGATTTAGGAGACTTTAAGATCAAAATAACCTGGGTGATCTGAAGGGCTGCATAATGAAACCTTAGCAGTTAACAGTTTAAAAAATATAGAAGTATCAATGTGGGAAAACGATGCCCTGCTAGTATAACACGCGTTTACATCCTGTTTTGATCCCAAGACTTTGCTCAGCAATAAACCACTGCTATAGCCCAGACCCCACATGCTGTGAAGCTGTAAGTTTCAGTTTACTTTTTTTTTCAACCACATAAAATGAATTCCAGTAACACTAATTGAAATTCATTATTTTCCGTGGAGGGCAACTGTAACTCTAATGGCCCATAACTCTGGCGACGCATTTGTTTTGTGTTTGGAAACGGAGACCCTCAGAGCAAAGCCTCATTCCCAGCTGCCACGCACAAACAGAAACACACAAACACACACACTGCACCCCCCTCACCAATGCTGCAGAACAATAGGTCACATACAGATAGGAGCTATGCATAATAATATTATTGGAAGATAAATCAAAACAGGATGGCAGCTAATTTATGAGAGGCGAGGTACTCATCTGGAGCCCTCGACACATCCCTAGTGTTGATGTTATCAGTGAGGGGAAAAAACAACTTAGAAAGCAAGAATCAAACAGCTTTACAGTGTAATTGTTTGTATTTAGTAGAGAATTCTTAGGTCATGGATATTTTCCCCAGGAGATGGTTGAATTCCAGGCTTTCTTAGATAGGCTCACAGGACCACACTGTATATTTTCTTTTCTTTTCTATTGTTTCCTGTAGGTGATTTTGTTTGACAAAGTGTTTGTTATCTTCCCTGTTTTTTTTGGACAGTAAGCAGCTTGGTGTAGTGGCTTAAGCAAACAGTTCAAAGGCAGACAAGGAGGTTTGGGTTTTCTCTTCAGACACGGATCCAGTCTGATTGTCAGGCCACTGGAATAGCTTGGAGCAGAGCAGAGCCCTAACTATGGCTTTAATTTTCCATGTTCTGTTTTTGCACTTTTGTTCGGCATAAATAAAAGAAGTTCAGTAGTATTATATTTTAGTGCAGCCGGCACATGCTGATGCAGCTACTGTACCTACTTCATATTTGATCAGATTGCAGGTAGATTCTGAACCTGTGCAAGTTGAGTTAATTTAGTAGATTCTGTACAATCACTTGAGGGAAGCAAAACCGACAAAGTTGGGAGCCATGTGAGAAAAGCTGGATCAAAATTAAATATTTTTGAAAGTGTCTGAAAATTTTAATTTTTGTAATCTTGTGAAAAAAAATTGCAGGAGAAAGCTTACAAGTGAGAGAAGATCATTTGGCCTCTCTAGCTATTCAGCTTATTAGGATATCCTTGATCCTTTAGACAGAGAAGCCTGTAGAATGTTAAATGTATAAATGCAGTCTCTGCCTGTATGAATCAATGAAGTATTAATATTAATAAAGCTGATATTTCCCCTGAGACATAGTGCCTGGGTTCTTAGTCAGTAAAGTGTACTGGCAGGAAAAAAATCTGCTAGCTACACAGACAAAATGAATGGCTAACAAAATATATGTAAGGGCAACCGAACTTGGCTGCCACACAGTGTATTCCTTGGCAACCTCAGAATCAAAGCATAAAGTATTGGCCACTTGTGGCTATGAGGTCATTTAAAAGCAACAAAGCCCTTCTTTACACTGCAGCTCAGTCCCGAAGGCGTCAGCCTGGTGTAAGCCCACTTTCTTTCTCTGCTCAGGCTTGCCTGAATCTTAATTACTTACAGCGTATTTCAATTAATTAGCACAATGGAGTCTGCAAACAATATTTATTTCGTAGGAGATTGGTCAGGTCTTGAAATTCAAAGATTACTTTCAAAATGTATATAATGTCCCTGTGTACATGCACACAGAAATGTTGTTCTTTTATTTAGGCAAAATGTGAAACAGTAAATAGTTCAGCCATCCTAGTGTGCCAGCAGTGTATTATACAAATGGCATTTTTACTTCTGGCAGGGTGCAAGGTGTGAATAGTGTTATTGCAGCTCTATAGTTAGAGGTGGCAGGTGTGAGTTCCTCACCACCATGTCTATTTCAGAAGCTGGAACTCTAACAGCAGTGCCATTGGGGTTTCTAGGTTCACGACATCAAGCTGCAGACTCAGAGTCCTGAGGAGAAGGAAGCCTGGATCAAGGCCTTGAGTGATGGGATCAACAGAGCTAAAAATAAAGTATTTGATGAGGTAAATATTTCCTCTTTCTTGTGGACATTCAAGAAGTCAGTCAGCCCACATTGCTGTTGTACCCACAGTGAATGTAAGCCAAACAAAACCTTTCACTTTGAGTACAAGCCATTAACAGACAATGTTTCAAAGCAGAAGAAGACTACAATATTGAGGAAGCAATCACAACTGTCTTCCTCATTTGATTGCCTGTAGCTTACTGATCCAGAGATCAGGTGAGCTGATCTCTCAATCAGCTGCTTCAACAATTGGACAGTTTGTTCCAGATTCCCCACCACCTTTAGTATAAAGTACTTCCCGATTTCAGTCATAAATATACTCCCTAATGGTGAACCTTGTGTGCTTGATTTATTATTCGTCTCGAAACAGGATTAACCTTATCCTCTGGGTTAGCTACGTGAATAACCTTTTAGGATTTACTTATATCCTGAAGTCTCTGGACATATTGGTCACTGTTCAAGGCGAAGGTTAAAAATGTTCAGAAAGAGCTTAATTTTGAAGAATTCCTGACCAAAATCAATACGTTACTCACCTTTGCAGTCTCTTGTATTATTATATATTCAATCTCAGAGAAGGACAGAAAGATTCATCCAAAATGTATTTTATTTGCTTTTTTAGATCAAGGTAGATGAGAGCTGTTCTTTAGAACATGTGACACGCTCAAGGCCTAAAGGGAACCATGGTCGAAGACCTCCAACCAGGATTCATATGAAAGAGGTACATGTTTGTCTAAGTAGTTTCCACAACAATACACTGATGAAAGATGGATCTCCAGCTGACATTCAGCTGATCTTCCATCGGTGGTTTTCTTCAAACAAGATTTATTCTAGCAGTCATCTATTTTCCATGCTCAGTTGGTCATTGCAAGTCTGGGAACAGTGCCCTTCATGATTTTGCCAGACCTGCATGAATCAGGAAGACATAGCTTTTGCACAGCACTAGTTTATTTCATTTTGTGGATTAGCACACTAGCGATTCTGGATAACAAACGTGTTTCTCAGTCACTAATCAGATGGGTAACTACAAAAACATTTTGTTGCTGTTTCCAAAGTAAGTGACACAACCATGCTTTGGATCATGGGAACAAAACTGCTGCTTCGTTATAGCCTAGAGCACTGTTAGACTTTAACTTACAGAAAGATTAACTTATCCCCTTGATTTTACAGGTTGCCAGTGTGGCATCCGATGGGATTTTGAGGCTTGATCTGGATGCGGTTGACAACACCCCCAATGGAAACCACCCTGTTTTCACTGATGCAAATGATATTAACGAAGTTGGGAAGCCAACTTCTAGTGGTGAACCTACTCCTCAGAAGAAAGTCCTGAAACCACCCATGCCTCCTTCTAAAGAAAACAAACTGAGTGTCTTAACTGAGAAGGAGGAATTGAAGGAGGTCTCTCCTGATGGTGATAGTACTGATCCCCTGGCTCCCACAGCACCTCCAGACAAACTGAGCATCACACCAGAAGAAGACGGCAGCGCACAGACACCTGCTCCTCCATCACCGCCTGCCAAAGACCTCAAACCACCGATGCCTCCATCTAAAGACAAGAAGCCGGCTCCACCAGCGGACAAGGAGGGTTCAGAGGATTCCCTGGCTGCTGACAACACCGATCAGGGAGGCGAGGAAGCTGAAGATGTGTCTCCCACCAGTCCACCAGACGAAGTCCTCCAGCCCCAAGAAATCAAAACTAGTCCTCCAGTCACTGAACTGCAGGAGTCTGCAGAAACTCCTCCTGCCCAGGACGCTTCCTGTCCCCCAACCCCTTCTCCAGAAGAGCAGGTTGCGGCTCCCAGCCCTTCTGAAGTGGAGACGGAGGCTACTCCTGCAGCTGGCTCCAGCGCAGAAATGGAAACCCTAAAGCCCTCATCCCCTCCTCCTAAACCAAAATCCCTGTCTCCAGAACCCATCATAAAGAATTCTGCACCTCCTGCTCCTCCCAAGAAAAAACCCCTGAAACCCCTTATCAAGACAACTGCTAGTGATCAACCATCTGATACCGGGGAGGCATCAGGTGTTGTTTGGCTTGCAGAAGCAAAGCAAAAGAGTCCGCCTGAAGACAGTGCAACAGCTACTCAACCAGATGCATCAGAAAGTCTGAAACCATCCCAACCTAAAGAGGATGGTCCTCTCTCTCAAGAATCCAATAGTGAGAATTTGGATCTGAAGAGTATGAGAAAGAGCCCTGAGCCTTCAAATCCTGCTGCAGGCGAACAAGAAGATGTGAAGTCAGACAACAGCACCCACAGCAGCCAATCAGGGGACGAATCTGAAAGTGACAACATGAGGGCTTCAACCACAGCTCTCAGTGGCAGCAGGGAGAATCTGAGTGAAGACAGTGGAGATGAAGACAAAGCTACTCAAAGGCTGGAAGAGGAGCCACGCACCACAGAAAAAGCAAAGGAGACGTGTTTTCAGGATGCAGACAAAGTAGCTTCAGTACAACAACTGGTGCAGAGTAAACGCATCATGCAGCCAAGTCCCCCTCCAGTGCCTCTGAAACTAATATCAAAAGAAAAATTTGCTTCAACGGGAGACCTGTTGTCAGAGTCAGCACAGCAAAGTTCAAGGGAGACTATGAGGGAACTGAATGTAAGTTCTTTGAATACTGATATGAACAAGCTGAAGAATCAAGTATCCTTGGAGCTTGAGAAAACTGAGGAGCTTCTTCAAAAACTGGATGAGAAGAAAACAGCCAAGGGCTCTCAAGGAAACCTGCCTGATGGCCTAGTGCCGGAAGACCCATCTGCAGAGGAAATACTGAACGAAGCTGTGGAAAAGCTCAGGAAAGCAGATGAGTTCTTGAAAGAAGTTCAGAATCTTAAAGAGTCCAACAGCACAGGTAAAAAGAGCAAGAGAAAAAGCTGGTGACAGTAAACAGTATTTAAAGTCATAAAGTTACAGTTATTATTTGTTAGTTGTATTTCCTAACACTGCCTGTAAGGTATTTATATTGCACACACACAGAAATGTTATCCTGTATAAAAGTGATTACTGAAATATATATATAACAATATTATTTACTGAAAAGTGCAATTGATTCAAACATCTTAATAATGAGGAAGGAAAGGCTGAAAAGGTTGTAAAAATCTGTACTCTGTATTGTGTAAAATTTGGTGTAATGTCACCAAATTAATATAATGAAGTGCTAAAAGCAGTTGCTATCAGTCCAATATTTTGTATGACACACACTGAATCCTCAAGAATATTCAGGTTTTCTGTTATATACTGTAATGTAATTTTGATACTTTTCAAATACAGATCAACTGCATGCAAATTTACTCTTGGAATTCAAGGTTGTCTTGGACATGATAAAGCCTTAATGACTTTTTCCAAGTTATGGGCCCAATCACACATATACAGTAATTACAAATTCTGAGCTCTATACTTAAAGAAATTCTCCTCATAAATAAATAATGTGACATTTTTTAATTTGCTCTTTCTTTTTCATTTTTCTCTTTTCATTTAAAATATGTCAAAACTGCAGACACATTTTCCTGTGGTAAATTCCTTTTTAAGAAATGATGGAAGATTTCACAGAAAAATGTTTTTTTTTCATTAATGCCAGAGACATTCCAGGTATTAAGTGAACTCATCCAGGTATTCTTGGAAAACTATGCTGTAGATAAGAAAATTAGTCATGGCTGCCACAGGTATTTTAGAAAAAAAAACTTTTCAATGACTGCACTGTTATTTATGTCTTCTCTAAAGCCAAGTCTGAGAATTTGGACTTGATACACAGACATTTTTTCTGCTGCACAGCCTGTTCATTTTCTACCCATCAACAGTCACTGGTCTGAATGAGTCAGAAAATATATATTGTAAATACATTGTACAGTTAAGTGAAGATTTACCTGATTTACTGATTGCATCACTCAGTGATATGGTTTTAAATGTAAAATCAAGGTCTTGTGCATCTTTGTAACACTGCTGTTGATAACTAATACTGTACAGGTGAGCAAAGCCTAGCCAACTAAATTTCTAGCATATCATGTATCATATTCACTTTTATAACTCATTTTGGATACGAAAAATTACTTAGTAATTATACAACTGTAATAATCTGTAACAAGTTGAGTAGAAATTGTGGTTATTTTAAGCATCAATTAAAAGGTATTTAAAATATTCCAGTGTGGGAGAGTTATAATTATACTAAATTAGTCAATTATGGAGGATAAATAGCACTTCTCTGAGATACATCAGTACTGTATAGTGGAGAATGGTAATATGCCAGGTAAAACTAGTATGTGCAGGGAAATAACTGAGCATCTTTTTTTAATAAATCTAATAATTACATATATTTTTTGTATATAATATAAACCATTGTGTCGGATAGTTTTGGTCCACGTTTGGTGATTTGTCTTCAGGCTACAGTCTGGGGGATTCATGTAAAACAGGCACTTGTTGGGACTGACTTTATTTTACAACCATTACATGTAGACCTAAGCAGCGTCTAATATAAGATTTATAAATAATCAACAGGAACTAAATGCTTCCTGAATAACTCACAACAAAAATGAATATTAGTCAAATTGAAAGCTGTTGAAAGAGGAATAAGTTGTCTGCTTATTAAGTTGTGGTTGTGAGTTGATAAATACAGTATGTATATACATGTTCATTGGTACTGTGTGTTCATACCTAGGAATCTCAGCCTAATGCAAGAATTTAATTTTCTATACAGTCACCAATGACAGTATGGTAAAGTAAACATAAGGCTGCAGGGAACTCTGGTTCCATTACGGGTGCTGAAAAGCACTGGCTTCTTGGAGGTTCCTGGCTCACAAGGAGCATTCGTGATCAGCACAATCACTAACCATTTGAAATATGGAGGCTGATTGCATTTGAGATGAATTTGCTGACGCCAGAGCAGCGATGTTTCCATCATGACGTGTTGCGAATGATGTGACTGTGAGAAATGCCAGCTGTGCTGAATTACTACCAAGAAGGCTGTAGAGCAGTTGTAATTAGAGCCTCCGGATTCCTCCTGGAGAGGCCTAGAAAATGTGTACTGTTTTTCCATTTAGTACCTCAAGAGTTTTAGTGCATGCTCTGTTATCACTTCACCGAGTTCTCGAATATTAGAGTATCAGAGTACAGTTTTGGAAGTTTTTAGACTCTGGATTGTGTCAATTTCAAGGGCACCTAATTATTAGCTAAAACCCAATTCCAGATGTAAACCTTCAATCTGTGGATAATTTAATCTTTTAACCTCACACTGCCCTTATGGATGCATAATGTTATACTGCATTTAATTAACAAGATTTATTTCCCACTTTAACGTGGCACTGTTCTTTTAACCCCTCTCTCTGTACAAAGAAAGAGAATAATTTGTGTAATTTGATTTGATTTGTAATCTTTGTCAAAAGGCACAGTTTATCTTCCACTTCAGATTTTAAAGCAAGGGTGACACCTGATCTTATGTTACTGTGTGTGAGATAAATATAATCTGTAATAAACCATATAATGAAGTGAAGACTATGAACAGAGTAGTCCATACTGCAAGGATGGAAGATTCCTGCTGTTTCTGGTTTTATGACAGTCAGGAAGGTTAATAAAATGTCTTAATCTACTGATTCTTTGTAGAATTGTAATTTTGCTTTTTCTCCGGTTCCCCCTGTTACATCAAAATCAGTTCTTGGTTGTTCTTGTTTCATTCCAGACAGAGGGAACTGGGAAATGGTACTGCCATGCTCACTTTCACATCTGGGCAGTGATTTGGAGCTGTGTGTTTTATCGTTTTTAAAAAAATGAGCTTTGTACTTGTCCCATAAATTGACCCTTTTGCCTTTAAGAGAATGGTTTTGCTCCTGAGTTGTACCCTATTCTCAGTGAAACCCACTAGTGTGTTCAGCCATTTTGAAACATTCACTTACACATAGTGTATTACTCAAGATACATTCTGTTTTCAGAATGGGTGGTTGAACTTCACAGTAGGAGTGCAAATATGTTTCAGGTCATTTCTTTTTTTTCTTTTTAGAAATACAGCATATTTATAATTTCATTTTTTAAAATAGTGACATATTTTCAATTCCATGACATAACCTCAGGATATACAGTACCATGTTTATGTTTACCCTTGTAAATAATCAAAGTTGAAGATAAATGATTAAGAAGAATTTGTTCAGACAACTATATAGTGAGCATGGCTTAAATTATCTGGCTTTATAGATTAGAACAGGCTAAAGCCTTAAAGCCTTAAATCAAATTGAAAAAATGTCAATTGGTTGGTTATTTTATTAAAATATTTATTTTAATGTTTTCTTTTCATTTTGTAATATATTGTAAAAAGCACTTACTAATAATAAGATTTTATTTGCCTTTAGCAATTCTGCGAAAAAATGTTGCTATGGAAAGCATGTCTTAATAAAGATAACCTTGTTTACACCAAGATTTCTTTGCTTCTGTTCATAATGAAATAATACTTGCAAGGTCTCTTTCTGCAGAGCTAACATTGTCCCTGTAGGCTTCCTTCATGCATACATTTGAGTTTCCCATTTAAAAAAACACATTTAAAAATGGTTCTGCTTTTGTTAATAGCAAAAGAAGAAACACTGTTTCTATAAGCTACCCAGTGAAAAAAGGAACAAAAGGCTCAATAGTCAGTTTATCCACACCAACAAATATGTCCTCATGATACAGTAAATGCAGAATGTGCAAAAACAAAGGTTTGCTTTTATTTTATGTGTAAGAATAAGTTCTGCACTCTGATCTTACACAAAATAGAACCACTTCCAACAATGACATTAATTTGGTACCCTGTGTAAACAATGGGGAGAAGAATAAACTAAGTAGATGATAAGAAACTAACAAGCATTTTTTTTGTAGAGAAATAGATGTGGAATCAGATAAAAACAGCTTTGGTCTGTGGTGCCAATCAATCATTAAACAGCAGTAATAAAATCCTCCTGAGACTGATCTACTGTTACTACACTGTTAAAACAATCTGTATGATAATTTGTATTCTCAACAATATGTTAAGGTACTCCTGTGCGTGAGTCATGAGTTTCTGTTTAAATTCCTGTAGCACCATTCACGTGAAGGAGACTTACAACGATAAAAACAAGATTACAGCACTAATTTAGATCCTTCTCACTAAGGATTTCAGTTTGGCCCATAAGATGCAACCTTCCTTTCCTATCTGACATATAGTCCTCTGAATCTGGGTGTCTGATTAGCTGCTCAGAGGCTGAGGATAATGAGCAAGATGAGAGATGTGAATTCTTTATAGCTTAATATACTGCAATTACAGGATCAGTTTTAAGGTTTTAACGATCCCAATTAGGGGAGTAAAGTAATGAAAGTTACTGGAAATCTTAACCCCATTAAATAGATTTTTATGCTCTTTAAAATCTATGTATGGCATATTGTTTGCTACTTTCCTTGCCATTTATGTTTGATATAATAATACAGGGGGAAAAGCTAATAACAGAGACTACGGTAACACAAAACTAAATTCTGGGTATGTGGTTCACCTTTGAATTAAAGTGAACCCCAGGATCCCATTTACATGAAAGGATAATTAGCAAGTCTTTTGTTGGGGTGGTAGGGTGGTTGTGGAAATCACGTCTTGGGTGCAAGGTGCAAGTTTCAGGACATTTAATTTCCCCAGAACCAGTCCTGGAGATCCTGTAAATGTTCTCAATTCCCAGAAAGCCCAGGTCAAATCCATAGAGTTCCCACCTGTGATCTCTTTTTTGTCTTTAGCCCATGAAAAGCAACTTGAGTCCTTACCCCTGTGTGTATTTCCTTGGCCTGTGGCTGTACCGGAAACTGTGACTTCAGTCTCAGCACAAGAAGTGGTTCTGTAGCTTCAGATCAGGCAGTAGGATCTGGAATACAGCAGGCTTGGGGGTGCTGTTATAACAGTATGCTCTGATCTAAACAGGCAGCTGTGCTCCTGAAAATGACAGATTTCTCACATAAGGCTTAACCATCAGTTGGGGGGTGACGTTCCTGGTGCAGTCCAGAGTGTCCTGGACTCATATCAAACCATGCCTATTTGTGTAAGCAGGAGAACACAGCTGAGCAGGCAGTCAGGTGAGGGGTGAAGGTCACAGGACCTCTTCTAGCTGCAGTCTGCTCCTCTCGCACAACACACACAAACACAACGCTCTGCTGCTCAGCTCACACCTCCCAGCTGTGCAACAACACTGGAGAACAACAGGAATTTAAAAATGCTGTTGCACTGCTCTTGTGGAGCTGGAACCAATGTGAACGTGGTTTGGATAATACAGAATAATACAGAAATAAATCCTCAGTCACTGTACTCTTCAATGAGTCTTAGCATTTGACAGCACAAAAGAGCAGTAATGGTCTTAAAAATGGTTCTTAGTTTTTCAGCTTTACAGGATGTGGTTCCCAGTCGATTTAACAATTTCCTGTAGGCCTTGACTAAAATTAAACATTTAACAAATGACAGTGCTTTTGTAATCAGAAGGCATTCTCACATTGTAAAAATACCCAATCTAATAATTGAGTTTATTTTACATTTTACATATAATTTTACATATAAATACAATAAGTATTACTGGAAAAAAAAACTTAATAAAATAATGGGAAGATGAGCCTTCACACTTACTGATGCTTACATTTTTTCTACAGTATATCCTCTGTGTTTTTCCACCTGAAAAGTTCACTTTAAAATTAGTATACCAATTTACATTGATAAAAGGCAATGGACAAATTGATAAACATTACAATTTACATTGATAAACAGAACTCTCAGCACTTGGTCGTTGAGTGGATGTTGCTACAGTTAAACCTTTACCTCATCAGACCTGAGCTAGACACTTTTAATAATATGATAAGTCCATCCAGCACATTTATGAAGAGCTGCCAAAAGTAATATTTTGAAATAGATATATAAAAAAATATTTAAACTGATCTTTTATTACTTGGGTGACAGAACCTGAATTATAGAGTTCTTTCTCAGAATCCAGAAGCCCAACATCTAGCATAAAGGGAATCTCATGGCAACAGAAAAGAGATTTTCAAAAGGGGGTCCCTCTGTAGTATCAGCCTAGAAAAGTAACAGAGGAAATCAATTTGGATTGAAGGAATCCAAACAAACTTTCAGATGTTGCACCATGCTTAATATTGTCCACAGAGTTAAGAAGATAATAGAAAGGTAGTGAAACCTTCCTCAAGACATCTAACTGACCTTTCTTTTCTTGGGATAGATAGAAGATGACAAAACACTGCCTGGAGCCTTCCAGTGCCATCCTCTCCGTGCACTGTTTGAGGGATTCACTGTGACAGATTGATAGCTCTTTTTCAGATTTCAGCAATTGAATTAATAACATTGCAGTGAGACACAGCAAGGGCCTGATGTGCTCAACCCACACTGCTTACGGCAGTTCAGCTGTTTCTCAATAACTAACGGGAAAAGATTAGTCAACTCGGCTCGTACAGCCATTACCACAAAGCATACAATAATGCTATTACTGGGCTTATTAGCCAACACCGTCCTTGAGGGACAGTGCTTCCTAATGCCAAGCAAAGATTGTGCTCTAGACCACATAATATCATGGCAAAGCTCAGAAGGGGAATAGTCAGATAAGAATTAAGCCTGTGCCATGGGCTGTATGCAATACAGCAACAAAGGATTGTAACTTACATGTGTCTGTTTGTCTATCCGTTAGCTGACAATTCAAAATACACTGGTGTCGTACCCAAGCTGGGAGCTGCATCTGAGCAGAACTGCATGTAAACTGTTCAGAAAATGAGGAGTTACATTAGGAGATGAAATACTTGTAAATATATCAATTACCTCTTTCATTTTTCAACTTTCACCACGTTGCAGATAACCAAGCTGGCAAACACAGACTGCAATAACTCTGTTTTAAAAGGTTTCTGACCATCTAGAAGGTCCCTATGAAAAAGTTGCATGATGATTGTACTGTGCTTTTACCGAGGTATACTGGAGTAAATTCAAATAAGGGGGGACCTATCTACAGATGACAGACTATCTACTGCTCCAGGGCAGATTGTACAGAAATGAGCTGTGGGCTCACTGTGAGGATTAGTGTGAAACCAATTTTTCCAGGCTCAGACACGCTCTTTATATGACAGGTGATAACAGTATATTATACACCTACCTTGAAACATTTCACTTCTTTGAAAAACATGTGGTTATCTTTCCTGGATGGAACAGCACGGTGTTTTTTTTGTCCTTCTTCCTTTTCATTGAAAGGTTGGATACAAGGTTCGTGATTAAAGTGAATGTATTTGAACAGAAAAAAACACACACCAATATTACAGAAGTTTCTGAAAGCAAAACCTTCTCATTGTGATAAAGAGAACCGTTGATCAACATTTTAGGTACTCTAAAAATAACAGTCAGCGGAGGATGTTTTATTTTAAACAATACCTTGACTCTGTGCTGACATGTTTTTATTTAGATCTCCTGTCTCGCTGTGGTTACTGCATGGCCCAGCCATATACAGAATGTTAAAGTTAAAAGCACAGACAGTTCAGCACAAGTTGAAAGATGATATATACCTTTTCCTGTATTAATGTGCTTGTTAAACCAGTAGTTTTATTAAACCCTTAAGTTATACATACTGTATAATTTATTCATAAAGTAGTGTATAACTGGTGGTATTTAGTATTTCCTATAGCTTTTACAAGTCAACCCAATCTTATAATTGTATTTCACTGCCCCTCAGCAGTAGTTCCTCTTCTATGAGGATATTGTCATTGTAAATTGAAAAGCTATTTTAATCCACTTCACTGAATCTCCCAGTTACTCAGTCTCCCAGAAAATCGCACACGTTGCCCATGACTACTGCAGATCTCCAAGCTGCAGCTACACCGACAAAGACAACTGCTTGTGGCAGACATTGACATCTGTGAAGGAGCTGAAATGTATATCACGTCAGAAACCTTCCTTCAGGGAAAGTTGTAGGTAAACCCTCTTTAGCCTGTATGGTTTATGGAGTTTTAAATAAAGGTTCAAGACGAGGTCAAAGCCTAGTCTCACCCACTTCTGCCTGCCTAGATATAGATATCATATTTCTCGCTCTTTCACTTGTACATCATTTCATGTCCCCCTCTTCAGCCCATCTCCTCCCTGGCTGCAGCTCCCTGGCTCACCCCTCATGTAAAAAGAAAGCAGGGGATTCCAACTACCCCTTACTTATGGGACAGGTCATTCACCTCAGCCAGGTTAATTACCCCCAATAAAGCTCACTGTTTGAATCACACCCTGTTCTCTGCCTTCATTAGGACTTGACTGATCTACTGAACTGATAGATGAGCTTGACACTGACTGAAGTTTAAAGAAACAAGCAAATCTTTTGCCCTCTATATCACCTCCTTTCTCTCACATTGATATGATCAGCACATTTGAGCTGTTATATACTTTTATATACTGCATTGCAATTTGTATC